AAAATCGCTGCACTTTCGGTACAAATGGATGCGGTATCTACATGAACATTATGTAGCTGGAGAAACATAAGCTCACTCTTCTGCTCAACATTATGAAGTCTAGCTCGTCCTTTTCAAACATGAAGGCTACTTGTAAATTCCTTATTTGTATAGTAACTGTCAAATATCGTAGTCTGTGGCTTTGAAGTTTTCTGACTCCAGCTTGAGGACGCAGATGTAATAATTTATCAAACTTATGGCATGCTCATTCGCTGAGATCATCAACAAGCAACAGACGATTTGTTATTGCATTCCTTGACCATTTGGAATCGCTACATTTGGGTATGTCGTGTTGAGCCGACGACTCAGAGGTTCCATGCACAAGACGAATAGCAGCGGAGAAAGGCTATCATCTTGGAAAATTATACGTTCTAATTTTTTCTTTATCACAGTTCCTACATTGTTTTTAAGAACAACTGCCCATCTGGATGTGATGCTTTTTAGAAATCTGCTTATCCTAATAGCATGGTAAGCCTTTCGATACATTTAATCAGGTATCCGTAATAAATTTTAACGCTTTTTTGATGTCATACCACGTAGTATAGAGCTGGTTCCCGCGCTCTTTGTAAATCGCCAGGTTCAGCATAGCTTGTTCTTTCGCACCTTGAACCTGGGCAACAGTTTGTAATTGTTTATCTGCAAGTTTATCTCGTGGCAGTATCTTATTTTATAACTCGTGCCACATATTTCGATGTCAACTTGTATAGGTTTGATATACAGGTTATTGTTCTGAAGTCGTTACCTGTAATTTGGACATCTTTTGGAACCAGATCGTCCTTTTTTTTTCCGTTTCTTCGACTTTAGTTGGGCAAGTAACATGCACTTCATAGTCCGGAATGAGTTCTTCTAGATATATTCGTTATGCGGGATATCATTATCTTCCATTTTCGAGTTAACACATTATAGCCCAGAACTCCCTGATTTCATATGTTCTTACAGTGTGCATAACCTCTTAGGTCACTTTTTGTGGAATTACCTTCTAAACAGCTCAAATCTTATGCTTTGGATTTAATGCAAATCAAGACTCATAACCTCTAATATTACTTCCGTAAACTCACACGCTATGTCAAGATGTAGAGATCCTCGTGACAGCCACATTTGCGAGCAAGTTTGAGATGCATGCCCCTCATATACGTCTTGGCCTCTCTTTGATTTTCACCTTCAAGCGTTTCAATAGCTATATCACGCTTTATGAGTCTTTTGTGAAGGTTATTCAATCTCTATTCCTCGAATAAGTGCTTCGAGCATAATCATCTTTCTGATACCAAATGGCTGAGTGTTCTTTCATATCCTTCACCTTATTTGTTTCTCATTTATCTTTGCTTATGATTCAGATTCGGTTTTATCCTTTTGCTCCTCACTTCCTGCTTTGTGCTACAATTAAACAGCTAGATGTAACTTTTCGGTAACTTGGCCGAGCAACGTATAAAAAGTAAAACCTATATATATATATATATAGGTTTTACTTTTTATATGTATATATTTGTTTGAATTCAATATCCATCATCATTCTTTGCTTCGTTTGGTATTTATTTGTCTATGCTAACTCATTTTTGTTCGAAAATTGGCAAGAGATAGAAGCTTGTGGCTCCCACAAGTTTGAATTTCAAACTGTAGACATACGTTGCAGGAAAGTGGGGCGTTCGTTTATGGGATTTTAAGTTCTATGGATAAAATTTCAAATGGAGTAGTCTTACAATTAGTCGAGCTTTTCAGTCCCCCTATCTGCACGTTAGTTTTTAACAGTTCTGCTTCCAAATCAGATATTGCTTCCTTGTTAGTTGAAGCGTTTTGTGTTGGTTGAATATAGTTTACTTTACATCTTATAGGACTGATGGGAAGGTAGTTGACTGTTCGAGTTTTTACCATGTGGTCGTTGTTATTGTACCAGGAAGTTTTTTAATCGTTGCTGTTATTGTACTTATTTCTTTGGTTGTAACTGAAAAATGCAGTTTTTCATCGCAGCAGGAAGAATCTTTAGGTATATACTGAACCAGTTTTTGTTGCATGATCCGATATTTCCAATAACTTAAAATTCCATTATGTTACAGCTCGAAATGAACAGTCACTTGAAGATTCATTGCCGAATGGTAGTGTAACTGAAGAACCACATAAAAGATAAGTTTAATTTTCCCCATTGAAAAGAATTGGGTCTGTTTCTCATTCAGTTTTGCTGTCATGTATTTCCTTTGATATCATGCATTTCAGTGAGACAAGTTTGATGACAGTCAATTCATTCAGTGACTGATTTTCAGATTGTTTCATAACTGCACTAGCTCTTTAAAAAGTTAATGACTGTATGCTGCTGTCATTTCTTGAAAAAGTAGTGGTAGCTACTTGATTAATATATATTTATTGCATCTGGAAGATAGTGATTGATTTTATTTGCTTTGATTGATTTTGTTTCCAGTGAAATGTTTGTTCTTGATGAAAGGTTTTTTTGAAAATTGAATTTGCATATATCAGAGTCATTATGAAATTTGTATTTTATGACAACATTTTAATATCCTACTATGTTCGCACTTAGTTTCTAGAATTTTTGCTAATCACATTGTATTTGTTCGTTATTTACTTCGAAGTACCAAGAGCGAATAGGACTCGTTTTCAGTAACACTGGATTGAGCGGTTCAAAAGCCTAAATTATTGGATTGTAAGAATAAAAATGTTACTGGTGCTAGACCATCAGAAGCAATTACACGAATAAGGTTCTTGTTTTGATGAACCTACTTTTAATTCACAGTGAGTTTCGTCTTCATGAAGACCTGCAAGGGAATTTATTGACAGGCTTTAAGGGTGTAGTGAAACAGGTCGGATTGTTGCCATTGCATTCGTTCAGTATGTAGAAGTTATCAGGACCTAATTGAAATTTGGTGGGTGGCCTTAATTTTGCCACCCACGAAGTGCGTGAACATCTGGCGTTGCCACCCATAGAGTTTGCAAACAAATTTGCTTGAACATTAAATTTGAAAATGTCAGCCACAGCGTTGTTAAGGATGTTTTCCCACATTTTTAATTATTTCTTATGAGAAATAGGAAACAAAGCAATGAGTAGAGAGATTCAGGAAATGTTGGATCATATTTCAAGTAATAAGTCTCATGAAGTAATTTTCTATAATGTAGAGGAATTCTACTTGTTTCGTGCTTTTTAATTACAATGGATCATTATTCCTAAAAGTAAGACAATAAATATTCATCTTTTTTTTACAGACTGTGATAGGTTCTCTACATCTTAAGTGCTGTCAGATGTGTTCTAGACACTTTGGTCGTTATCCAAGTTAGAATACCAAATGCGTAAACATATATTTTCTTTCAAATACATAATTTTTATTTTTTGCCATGTATAAAAGTCAGTTCTTTCATTACAGTGAGCATTTCTAAATTTACAGGAGTCAGTTATTCTTGTAAGAGATATTGTAACTTAAAAATCCATGACTATTATTCTTAGCTGTTAACCATGCATATTATGAGAATAGCACTTCACTCCATCAGCAGTGTTGCTAGTTATCTTTAGAATGGCAAAATTAATTTAAGAGTACTCTGAATCAACCTCGTGTCACATTTTCTGGAGCTGAAAAAATCTTCCGTCATCGAAAACATATTTGCTTAGCTTTCTATTCTTTCTTTACGAATAATTCCTAAAATACTGAAAGCTTTTTATTTCGAAGGAACATGAAGAGTGAGGAAGGACGTGTGTCACCATATATATAAATGTAACCATTGAGAAGCTTATGATTACTCAAGAACCACGCAATATCACTTTACTAAACATAAAGTCGGGCACCTTCTGGAAGAACTTTTACAACTGTAAGTAGTACACATAAATCACTACAACATGTTAATTATATCAAAACGACTCCAACATTCATCAGTAACATATTAAGTAATCTAGCGTATCGTGATGTATAATGTCTTGTGACAATAATGAAATTTACCAGAACGATAGGTCTAGGTATATAGATTAGAAGGAAAAATTTGACCGAAGACCAATACCATTAAAAAAGTTTGAGATTTATTTTCTTAATTTAAAATCTGTCCGCATTGATTTTGATTTTTGTAAAGTTTTCCCGAATAGCATATATTTTCCACGTTAAAGATCGTTTATCAAAGTTCTTTTCAAACAAAATCATGTTACGGACATTGTGGAGAGCTGTTGATGCAAGTCTGAAAGTACAGGCTAGGGATGGGATATTGAAATCCATCCTTGATAATTTCTTGCAAGCAGCAAAGTCGCTTTTAATATAAAAGTGTTACAGAAAGTGACAGAAAAGGCACGAAAATACCTCGAATTACGAATTCATACTATACGAACAGTGCTGTTAATTCATTTCATTTTAACAGCAATGAAACAAATGGTGAAAATTGTGCTAATTAGGTAATTTTATGACATATGACGTAATAGCTCGCTAAACTTCTGATCCTGTATCGTATTATGATATAATAATCAAGAATGCACACATAAATATTTACATCTTAATTAAATGATATAAAACTCGTTGCAAAAATCGAGACGAAAAAAATGCATGACATTTATCATCATAATCGCAGTTGCAGTTACAGCTGTAACAGTGGCTAAAATTATGTCCACAGTCGTAATTGCAATCGCATTGATTATTACAGTTCCTAAGCATAGTTGGAAAACGAGGTCACAATCGAAATTTCATTCACATAATCATAACTACAATCACAATGGTAATTATAATGATAGCTTTTGACAATCATGATCATTACACTAATCACAGTTGAAAACATCATGACCATAACCATAGTCCGCACTCACTGCTATTAATAACAATATTATTATTCTTATTATCGTTATTGTTATTATTATTATTATTACAGTTATTATTATTACAATTATTATTATTACTATTATTATAATTATTATTATCACGGTTAGGCCTATGGTCATAAAAATTATGCCGATTATGATTAAATTAACGATGACGATTATGGCCACGATTACTACCATGCACAGATTCCAGAAATGCGCTTAAACATTTTCATCTCTTTTTGTGTATGACTCCGTAATCAGTTCATTGATGATGTTTACCGTTTTTGCTGACGTTTTACCTTGGACAAAACTATCGTGGTCTCCTTCCACAATAAATACTTTACTTTCATCGGATACCTGCAAGCTTTTTCTTTCAAAACTTGATTTCAATAAAAAATCGTAGTGAACTGTGCTCGTAACATCTTAATGAAAGATTACTTGCGATATGCCGTAATCTGAACCGACATCGTCTTCTTTTGCAGCTCCTTGTTCTGCTCTTATCAAAGTTATAAGTCCTTTGAATTTTCTTTCTGGTTTATATCTGAATTAACTTTCATTTCAAACGTATTTTTATTTTTTAACTGTTAGCAAAATTGTTCAGAATCTTTCAGAAGTCGTTGTTTTGACAATTACTTAATTTCACAGTAATGAAATTAAAATAACTTACTTATCAGCCATGACAAACTTGGAACGCATTGCGCAGCACGCAAAGTCAATAGTATCAGCTGATTTGAAAAGACCAGTTGTCATCACATTATCCACAACCTTCTATAAAACGATTTTTTACTTGATTCAAGTAAGAGAATTCATAACACCAGCATCATTTTATTTAATGGCAAATTACAAATTAGAAACATGAAGTCTAACCTGAACTCGAGCTTTAAAGCCTGGCTGCTGAAGCAATTCAACTCTAAATTTTTTGTAGTCAACATTTGCAAAGCGCAATGTCATCGCACACATAATTTCTGATTCAAACAATGGATTGTTAACAAGTGTGTCACCGGTCACACCAAAGGCCATCCGATAAACCTTCAATTCACCATTATTATCGTTTTCCTCTAATAGTGTGCAATCATTTAAACTGTTATTTGTAAAAACAATATCAAGTATTTGGAATGGAAGAACTACAAACATTTCGATAAGTTTGCATATATAGATGAGATCCATCAAGTAATATGAGCTTTTCGACGGAATTTACACCATCCGTTTCTTGAAGAATTGTAGCCATTTCAAAACCAATGCAAGCACCGTATGAATAACCTATAATCCGATATGGTCCCTGTGGCTGAACTTTTTTCATTTCCTGGAAAAAATTACGAAGTGAGCAGCAACATTCTCACTGATAAGTAACAAAAAAATTAGTAAGAATAAGAAGATACTCTCGAAAGCATACTGTGATATATTTTTGTGCAACTTTTTCAATTGAATCTTGTGGCACTTCCCGAGTTGATTGGAAGCAGTATGCGGGAAAATTGCATTTCGACATCACTCTTTTCAAAGGTGTAGCAATTCCTTCTATGGAATGAACAAAAAAAGTTGGTGGTCCATTTTCTACTTTGTTGCATTTCAGAATTAGGTCAGTTGGTTCAAGGTCATTAACATCCACTCTCATCCTGCAAAAATCATTCGCGCTGATTTTCTGGCGAAAGAACTAGTGAATATTTCAAACAAACATTCATTTTTAGAGCATGACGAAATCGAAAACTTTAGTCAAAAATAAATACTTGAATAATTGATTCATTTGTCTTTCAAGCTGTTCCACGGTATTTTGTTCAGCTTCCTTTTCACTTTCTTTCTTGAGTTCAAGTTCCGTTGTTTGCAGTACCGTTGATGATGTGCCACCGGAATCTGCTAGTTGTTGTAATTTATTCAACGTTAACTAAAATTAAATAACTAAACTTACAGCACAAATAATAGCAGACCTAAATATTTTCAGCTATATTTTCACTCTTAAGTTTATCTGAAAATCTGTAGTACAATGTAATATAAATCTACGTGTACATATTTATGTATTCTTTTCAATTGAAAATAATCTCAAGTTTAATTCCCAAAGTTCTATTAGTGAGAAAATTGATGTGTAGTGATGTTGAACGTAGCATACCGTTCTAATGTCTTTCATAGACAAAACGATGTCATAGTCGCGTTCAAGAGCTTGTTTGATTTCAACACCCATCAGAGAATCAAGACCCAAATCACCCAAATTAGCATCAGGATTTAACTGTGAAGCATCATTTACACCAAGAATATGAGCCATAGTTTGCAGTAAATTGCCGCTGCTCGTTGCTTTCTTAGCACCCATATCAGCTTTGATATAACTAAAACTTCATCCTTATTTATTAGAATTCCACCAGATTGATCACTCAATCAATTCACAAAAAAATGCTTTGATGGCCAAAAATTATATGGACAAACCTTGCGACGACAGGATGATCCCATGATAGAAACAAATCCAAAGCAGCTAAACAAGAGGGCATGCGTTGTGGTAAAGTTCCACCAACAACAGTATTATTATCACCCATATTTTCGAGGATTACTCCCACATCGCCTACAGCTCCCCATTGAATAGCTATACCCGGAAAACCATCCTCTCGACGGTGTTCTATGATACGTTCCATTGTACAGTTCGACCAACCATAATTTGTCTGTCCAGCATTTCCACGTCCAGAAGTGATTGATGAAAAAGCAACAAACCTAAATGTAAAAAATCATGTGTTTACTAAGTAAATTAAAGGAAACTGCAAATGATACAGTTGTTTAGGCAAAGATTGCTCTGTTAATAAAATGACGATCATGGTAGGTGTCAGTTTCGGAGAATATGATGGAACATATGTATCACTAATATAAGCACAAAAAATAATAAAAATCTGTACATGAACATAAAAAATAAGCATACAACCAAATAAACACACATATTACTTATTTCATGTTTTTTCTCATACTTTTACAAGTAGCAATTTTCTATTTATATATAAAATATAACTATATATATATATAT